ATCCTGGCCCACCAATCTCAGAGGACGATATTCTTGCTCAGAGCAGCCAATGCACAGATAGGACCATAGGGCCTGCCCCACCACGAGACACAGCGTCCCCTCACTGACCCATAGTGCTAAGAGGGACAGCACTGGAGAGAGTGCAGGAAGTGTGCCCAGTTTGACTACTGCCCCACTCCCCACACACAGGGGAGAACACGAAGGGAGTGCGACAGAGCAGAAAGGGGAGCAAAGCAATGAAGTCCCTGAGGAATCCCCAAAATAGACTTTGGGGCAGGGCTTGGCACCTCATCAGACTCGATTGGAAAACATTCATAAAGATCAACAGACAGATCTAAAACTATTTGTAGGCTTTTTTTTTTTTCATGTCTAGCTATATAAGATAGGCAGGATAAACAATCCTGAGGAGAAAACAATGGAATCAATGGTTGTGGGTTGACATGGGAGAGGGGTAGGTGGGAAAAAGGGAGCGGGGAGCCAACAAACCCAGGGACAAGGGAACAACAAGTAATTAAAATCAATTGCAAGGAGGGCATAGAATGCCTGGTAGGGTTTGATCAAGTGCACTGTAGCCAAGAGGAATTACTGAAAGCCAAATGAAGGTTGAACATGATAGTGGGACAAAAGGAAAGTAAAAGGAAATAAAGAAAAGAACTAGAAGGCAAAGGACATTTATAGAGGTTTAAATACAAGCACATACATATGTAAATATATTTATATATAAGGATAGGGACAGAGATCTATGTACACAGATTTATATGTTAAGTATTAAGGTGGCCATCGAGCCTCTACCCAAGTACTCCCTCAACACAAGAACACTTGGTTCTAATAACCTGACATTCCATGATGCTCACCTTGCTGACATAGTTTCTGAAGACAAAATGGGTGCATAAGCAAATGTGGTGAAGAAACCGGATGGTGCCTGGCTATTAAAAGATATAGTGTCTGGGGTCTTAAAGGCTTGAATATAAACAAGCAGCCATATAGCAGGGAAGTAACAATGCCCACATGGAAGAAGCACATTAGCCTGTGTGATCATGAGGTCTCGACAGGATCTGGTATAAGGCATCAGAAGACCCAAAACAAACAATCATATCTATGTGAATGAGGGTGGTCAGAGTGGAGACCCAAAGCCCATCTATAGACCATTGGACATCCCCTCACAGAAGGGTCACGAGGAAGGACAAGCCCGCCAGGGTGCAGTGTAGCACGGACGAAACATACAACTTTCCTCTAGTTCTTTAATGCTTCCTTCCCCCACTATCATGACCCCAATTCTGCCTTACAAATCCAGGTAGACCAGAGCATGTACACTGGTACAGATAAGAGCTCTCAACACTTGGAATCTAGGACAGGTAAACCCCCCAGGAACAATAATGGGAGTAGTGATACCATGGGGGTATGGGGAAGGGATGGGGGGAGTGGGGAGGGGAACAAATCACAATAATCAACTAATAACCCCCCACCCAGGGTGACAAACAACTGAAACATGGGTGAAGGGAGACAGCGGACAGTGTAAGATAGGAAAATTATACTAATTTATCATTTACGAAGGGTTCATGAGGGTGGGAGAGGGAAGAAAAAATGAGGAGCTGATACCAAGGGCTCAATTAGAAAGAAAATATTTTGAAAAGGATGATGGCAACATATGTGCAAATGTCCTTGAAACAATGGGTTATGGATTGTTATAAGAGATGTAAAAGCCCCCAATAAAATGGTAAATAATAATAAAAAGAAATTCCCCATGACTCCAAAATGCATAACTTACTTGCAATTATTTCCCCTAGTTAATTAATGAAAAATAACACTTTACCTAATGTCTTGGCGGACTGAGTCATCATGTATGGATTTATTCCCAAGGTCAATAATGATATGGCTTGTACATACAATATACACTAAAAACAAAACACACAAAAAGTTCAAATCGAAATATTAATAATTTCTCCAAAGGTACTCATTGTTCAATTAATTCCAACAAAATTCTATCTTAACCTATACTTGACCCATGTTACCTTGAATAAATGGGTTGGAGCAAAAGTACTCTTGCTCATATACTGCTGGAGCATAATATACTGGAGGAGAAATTAATTTTCATTCTGAATAAGGGAAAGCAATAGACCTTGCGTTTTCTGGGATAAGAACGCCGAGAGGAGAACCCTCCATAGTTGTCACTATCGTCAACAGTCACACAAAACCAGCAGGGTGGCAAGCATCACAGACACCATAGAGCCTAGAGGCTGATGCGACTCACTACCGCCAAGGCCAGTCTGACTCATAACGACCCTATAAGACAGGGTAGAACTGTCGCTGTGGGGTTCCAAGACTGCAACTGTTTGAGGGAGTAGAACACTTCATCTTGCTCCCCTGGAGCAGCTGGTGGGTTCAAACTGCTGGCCTTGTGGTTAGCAGCCCAATGTGTAACCCAATGGGAAATCCCCAGCAATAGGAGGCAGCGGTGAGTATGGGAAGGATAGGAAATTATACCTGCTACTAGCATTTACTCACTAGCAGCAGGTTGGCTGTTGAAGGTCACCATCTGCTGTACTGGAGGAAGATGAGGTTGTCCGCTCCGGTAAGATTTACAGCCTTGCAAAGCCTGCAGAACCAACTCGGTGGCAGTAGGTTTGGTTGGGGTGGGTACATAGGGACTCTGGAGAAGGAAATTAGGCACTGTGGTGGGATCTGGACAGTTGTGGTGATCAAACAGGAAGATAACCACATCTGTAGGCTTTGCCTCGACCATGTGTGATTGGAGGCCAGATACTTAACCGTAACAAGCCTCAGTCTCCTTCACTAAAAAATAGGGTGACCAACAATGTTTACTTCAGAAAGTGTGTCCTTAACTTAGTAACAAGCACTGCCCGCAAGGATTTGATAAGCGGACTGACCCCCAGGCCCTTTCCCTGGATTCTGATTCTGTGTGTCTGAGGTGGAGCCAAGGGGATTCGTAAGAGTAGACAGATATGGGAAATAGTGTAAAGTCACATCTAGATGGTAGTTGCAATTGCACGGGCCTGATTTAAAACCCATGCTTCACACACCTTCTTATATACAAACACACAGCAAAATGGGAGGAGTGCAGATGCTGCTCCCTGTCATTTTTCCTTTCACACATGGATGGTCCCAGAGTCTTCACGAAATCACAGGCTGTATTTCAAGCACATCAACAGATAAACAGTCCTCAGGAAGGATGCAGTGATGAATTTGATACTCGATCCAAAAACCCACCTCTGTTTCGGAGAGAAAGGGCATCTGAATTCTTCTCCCAACATGCTACCTACAGAAGGCTATTAAACTCCTTGTTTTGATTTCTCCACATGCAAAATGGGGAGGGTGATAGCTGGTCCCCCAAAGAAGGTGCTCTAGGCAGACTGTACTCCTTGGAGCTGTGGAGATTGGAGCCCAAGAGCTGAGAAAAGCCTGGGCTGAAAGTTAGACAGTATCAGGAAACTCTGTACATATAATACTTCCAGATTAGATTTCTTTGGGAAGTGGGGGGGTCTTAAACGCAAATTATTCAAAAAAATCTTGATTTTCCCACAACCAAGTTTTCAATTCATCTGATTTGGAATTCTTAGAGAATGCGGGACTGGTCTTAGGGGATTCTCATGGCTAATCCTGTTAGCCTACTCAGTACTGTCAGACATGATGAGATCACCCAGTTCCAGCACTAGCAGCTGGCCTAGGGTTTTTTTGTTTGGTTTGGTTTTTACCTCCCCTGGAGTCTCGGTACCAAAAAAAAAAAACCACCACCACCACCACCAGGTTGCCTAGAAACCTACCGAGGAAACCAAGTTTTGTTTTTCACTACAGATAATGGAGACTGGAGCCAAACGTTTTGAAGAAACAAATCATTTGAAATTCACCCTACTGACAAAACCAAATGCTGGGAAGGATGAGGAGCAGTAGCTCTCTCAGTCTTTGCTGGTGAGAACCGTGTGGTGGTGCAGCCTCTGTGAAAGAGGATCTGATAGCTTCTTACAAAGCTAAATATAGACCTGCCATTCGGTTCAGCATTCACTCTTCTGGGTCTTAGGCAAACAAACTGAAAACTTGTGTCCACACAAAAGCCTACATACACATGTGTATAGCAGCTTTATTACTATGTAATGTCCTCAAACAGAAACAACCACGCTGTCTTTCAATAGGCGAATGGCTAAACAAGCGGGTATAGCTATACAATGGAGAATGATTCAGCAATAAAAAGAAATTGGCTCTTTAGCCATGAAAATATGTGAGGAGGCCTTATGGGCATATACTACTGAGTGAAAGGGCTCAATCTAGAAAGGCTGCACACTATATGATCCAGCTAGCTTCTATCTGGGGAAAGGCATGGAGTCATTAAAAGATGGGGGCTTTGAAAGGGCTCACGGGAGGAGGAAAGGATGGACAGGTAGTGCACAGGGCATTTCCAGGCAATGAAAGTGTTCTGGAGGACACTCTGTGGACACATGGCATTAAGCACTCGTCACACCCATTGGACTATAGAACCCAAGAGTTTAGTGGTTAATAATGTATCAGTATTGGCTCATCAACTTTAACAAATACACCACAGACATGGAGGTTGCTAATAGGAGAAAAAATGTGCAGGTAGAAGAGGCATATGAGAAACTCACTGTACTTTCTGTACCATGTTTCTGTAAACTTGAAACTGCTCTGATTATGGATAATCAGATACATGTGTGTATAATGTATGTATATACATTATATATGATATGTGTATGTACAACTTGGTGTGTATTTATACATATCCACATATAGCAATATGTATACATATATGTTTTCAATTCATTTACATATATATGTATGTATTTATATAATCTCTCAGGTTTTATATAGATCAGATATATATTTATATCTTGTATTTAAAAATATATATCTGTCATATATAAATTCTATATACACATATAACTTCTATTGATATATTATAATGATATAATATTTATATTTTAATATATTCGATGACATATTGAATAAATAACTATACAATCTATTTACATATTTACAAATATGGATATATCGTGTACTTTATAATATGATACATAACATGTAATCATATATTACATATTTTTAGTGGCATAGTGGTTATGGTGGGCTGCTAACCTCTAGGTCAGCAGTTCAAAACCACTCGTCTCTCTGCAGGAGAGACTCCTGTAAAGATTTACAGCCTGTGGATGGTGGGGCCAGGATTCAAACCCACATCCTCTTGGTACCAATCATAATCACCACATAACTATTGGTCCCTTTCACACTGTCAGCATAAATACGCCATGCTCTGAATTCCTTTATATTTAGAAGAATAGATTTTTAAGCTGGATTTTTTAAAGCTTGGTAAGATAGATGGGCAGCTAAAAAGGGGAAGGCCGTCAACGAGATGGATGGGCACAGTGGCTGCAGCCATGGGCACAAACATGAGAGTGGCTATGAGGATGGCGCAGTACTGGTGATGCTTGGTTCTGCTGGACACAGGGTTGTGTACACCCGACAACAATAACAATTTTTAAAACAATTAGCCTTATTATTGGGGACTATAACAAATTGCCCCAAAAGAAATAAATGCAAAAAAACTGTGAAATATGATTTTTCTTACCATCTCTGGCGATCTTATTTTTGTTTCAGACAAATTATACATCTCAGGAGCCCAGATTAAGTTTAAAACCCCTTTCACTCCAGACCAGGCGATAACAATCCCCAATCTCCAGCTATAGTCATACTTTGAATGGAAGAAAATAGGTCTCACTAATAACACTGTAAGCATCCTATGGAGAGAGAAACATTCACAAGCACAAATCACAACTTATGTATTCATGTTATTCATGGTGTAATCCATGTTCATGTACATATATTTATAGGTTAAGTATTGAGATAGGAGACAGACTTTGGGCCTCTACTCAAGGCCTCCCTAAACACAAGAGCTCTTTGTTCTAATAACCTGGCACTCTTTGATACTCACCTTCCCAACATGATCACTGAAGACAAAATGGGTGCATAAGCAAATGTAGTGAAGAAAGTAGATGGTGCCTGACTATCAAATGACATAGCATCTGGGGTCTTAAGGGCTTGAAGTTAAATAAGCGGCCATCTATCAGGGTAGCAACTAAGCCCACATGGAAGAAGCATGCCAGCCTGTGTGATTATGAGGTGTTGATGGGATCAAGTAGAAGGTATCAAAAGGTTCAAAACAAACAATTACATCGATGCAAATGAAGAGGGTCAGAGTGGAGACCCAAAGCCCATCTATAGACAATTGGACATCCCCTCACAGAAGTGTCACAGGAAGGGTAATTCAACCAGGGCCCAGTGGACTAACAAAACACACAACATTCCTCTAGTTCCTGAATGCTTCCTCACCCCACCTCCCCCAGTGATGACCCAGTTTTACCTTACAAATTCAGCTAGACCTCAGTATGCACATTGTCACACAGAAGAGACAATTCAGCCAAGGTGCAATATAGCACCTATGAAACATGCAACATTCCTCTAGTTCTTGAAAACTTCCTCCCCACCACTACCATGACCTCAGTTCTACCTTACAAATCCTGCTAAACTGGAGTATATGCATTGGTACAGATGAGAACTCTCGACACATGGAATCCAGGACAGATAAAACCCTCAGGAACAGCAGTGGGAGTAGCAACACCATGAGGG